GGGTTGGGTACCCAACGGGCAGTTGATCAAGGCAGGGCAGTTTGTGGAATGAGAGAAGTGCAGCCCACCCCCCAGGCGTCCTCTTTGGACCGTCCCTGACGCTCAGTAATAAGCAGGCATTCATACCAGGGCAGATTACCGCCCCCAATAAAAGGATACGGACAAGAGCGAGACGACAGTTGAGTGAGAGAGGAGACTGCGTGAGAGAGGAAAGTGACGGGTGTGTGCCAGTCCGCCTAGTGCTCATCCAAAAAGGCCAAAGCCGGGCGGGAGCTGGGCGCTCGACCCTGTCCGAGAAAGCACGGCAGCCAACTGCACCGAATGCATCCAGACCAGGCGAGGATGGGATGGCATGGGATGGCATGGCATCAAACAACTGAAGCGAGTGACCGAGGTGCAGCGGCAGCCTGTAAGAAAGCGGGAGTGACCTCTAGGTGACGCGGGTAAACCTCAGAACTGTTTGAAGTTGGATGGGAGCTGACCAGCCTTTTCAGTTGGAGCTGGAGCTGGACTGGAACTGTGGGAGCTGGAGATGGAATTGGCACGGGCTCGAGCTGGATAGCTGCTGCACTGGAAGCTGGCAGGCCGAAACCTCAAGCGCTCCGCACACCACTCAAGCACGAACCAGGCAAAGTACACAGTACCCGCAAGCACGGCGCAAGTGGGCGAGGCGGGATATGTACCAGTACCTCTACCTTGCTGGCGCTTGGCCAGCGCCAGGACCGCCAGCCATTGACTGCAGTGCAATTGGAGTGGCCCGGTCCGAAGAGGGATGAATGAGTGGGTGCCCTCGCCTCCCTCCCAAATCACGCTGCAAAAATCAGCCGGCGCTGCACCCTTTTTTGTTATGAAGTAGGAAGGAGCTTCCCCCGCCCCTTCAATCAGCCGCCCATAGTAAAATACCGGGCAAAGGCGTCGCCCCCTCCTCTCTCTCACAAAACTCCCTCCTCTTTTCCCATACAAACGAAGCGCACCGCTCACCACGCCCACCTCGATACCCATTTCCCACGCCCATTGCACGCGTATGTGAGTACTTCCTTTCCTTAGCCAGCACCAGCAAAATCACAAGTACTCGCGCCCATCTGGCATTTGGCCTTGTGGCCTTTGCCTGCCTCCGTCCAAGCGGAACTGCCATTGGGTCTTATGCAACCGGCCAACCTCACTGCCCACCTCGCTGTTGCCATCCAAAGTGAGGCCGGTGCACGCTTGTTGCTTTGCGCGTTGGTGCTCAGCGCTCCCAGCACCAGCTCGAGTTCTGCGCGTCGCTGTCTCCACGCAAAGCTTCCATAGGACCTGCCACCTTCGCACCACGCCGGGAGCTCACTTTGCGCTGCACACACACGTCTCCGGTCTCGCGTCAAGAAAAACATCACAACGTACCGCAATTGCTGACCAGGGTGGCACAATCTCTCAACAGCCGCATCACCGCGCAATCAAACAGCCTCATCCTCAGCAAAAAATCAGTCAAGTACGTTTTGTCGCTTATGTGGCATCCATTGATGCTTCGACGACGCAGCATGCCTGCCCTTTCCATCAGCAGTTGCATGCCAATTGTCTCGACAGTTACGGGTGCCGCACTCGCTCTGGCCATCGAGCATACACATCCGCATATCCTGCTCGTGTTTTTCGCTCTGCAGCTTGTCTGAAGTCGGACAAGCCGCAGTTTACCAACGAAACTCGTGGGCTTGATCAGTCAATTCATACGCGCCGCGACACAGTCTCAGTTGTTAACCCAATCCTAACAGTATTCTTGACCTGCAGATTAGACAATATGCCCAAGGCCGCCGCCAAAAGCAAGACCACCGGCAAGGTCGAGAAACGCCGCGCGAAGAAGGGTGAGTTGCCGCAACCCAACCCTTTCCCCACGAAGCGCTTGATATGATGTTCCCCATTTGCATATCATACCAGTAGCAACCTGGTCGCTTGTCTTGTAGGGTCATGCTTCGATAAAAAAGGCCCGCATGCACTGCTTGCGGTGGGCTTAGGTTGCAGCTGGTCCAAAACATACAAGTGGTCGCTGTTCCTATTTGTAGCTCTTTGTTGCTGTTGCTGACCTGCGTTATCTAAGATCCCAACGCCCCGAAGCGTGGCCTCTCTGCCTACATGTTCTTTGCCAATGAGCAGCGTGAGAATGTCCGTGAAGAGAACCCAGGCGTTTCTTTCGGTCAGGTTGGCAAGATCCTTGGAGAAAGGTGGAAGGCTCTCAGCGACAAGCAGCGTGCCCCCTACGAGGCCAAGGCTGCTGCCGACAAGAAGCGTTATGAGGACGAGAAGCAGGCGTACAACGTGAGTCATCCCTACATTGTCCCAACTCTACTAGCAATGGAAACTGATCATGAGGCGCATAGGCCGAGGCCGACGAGGAGGAGTCTTCCTGAATGAACCCTTCTCGCCGACTCGATTGCGCTCGCCGAAATTCAGTCTTGAAAATTTCACGTTGATATTTGACCGGAGCAAGACACTGCGATCAGCAAACGAGGCTTTCTTTACTTGACCTTGTATTTTGGGACGGACGGTGTTGTTACGGTGCCAAGGGATTTCCTTTTTTACGCCATGGTTTGCACGAGCTTTGCTATGATCAAGGGACAAAGCTATCCCTCCATTGGGGGACCTATCGAACCAGTCAGCTTATTCGCTGGCTAGCTTGTACAACAAATCTCAATTTTTGATATTCGGGAACAGGTGCGCACGCAATGGCAGGGGATCAAGAGTTGCCATGGATGGACTTGCACGATTGCGCGGCCAACGATGATGTATCGCCCACGTCGTATAAGGGTTCAAATACTGGTTGACGCTTTTTTTTTTTTTTTTTTTTTTTTTTTTGGGCGGCGCGGAACTGGTTAATATAGGCTACTGCTCGAACGATCAAAACAGCCCCATTTGGCGCAGTTGCTGTTGTTTGTCGCAAGATTATATACTTCCTAGAATTCGGTCAAGACAAGTGATTCAATGATAAGATAGTCACCAGGCTTTGTTGCGGACACACTTGACGCTAGAGGCCTTGCAAAGACCGTCCCCTATAGCCGTGGTTAGATGCGAACGTCCTTCTTCCAAAGATCATAATGATCAGAAGTACTGCCCGGTATTACTCACATGAGGTTAGTGATACTGAGGGCTAACTACGCACTACAGTCGACAGTTCTCGTATATAAAATGAAGACAAATCGAAACGGTTCCATGAACGAATGTAGTGCTAGGCTCACCAGACAACAGATCTTAGTCCACGTATAACATACCTGTTGTTCTCTTCCTGATCATGCAGCCTATGCTGCAGCCTCTGTTCAAGTTGTGTGAACTTCTTAGACCTGAGTATTTCCGAATAGTCTAGCTATGGAGTGGCAGACGTCAATCTACTGCATCACTTGAGTTCGATCAGCCCTGAAGGGTGTGTGTTTTGCCCCTTCGTGGCGGTCACTGACTCCTCGACTCCCATAGTATCTCCGTGGATTTCGTGCAGCATATCCAGTCGGAACTCGCGGAGGGCCTCCCAGTCCACGGTATCAGCTACCAACTGGGCATTTGTGGGTTTGTCCCAGTCTGCGTATATTGGATGAGCTTAAGGCTTTACTATCTTACCTACTGATGTTTTGTACGTTGGGCGCCAAGTAAGTTGGTCAGGCCAGCCAACTGCAGCCGAGAATTCTTGGATGGTCAATCGGCTGAGACTGTCTCCCTTTTAGGTAGTGTATAAGTACGTACATGTCACGCAAACAATTGACTCTCGTTTGTCGTCCCCCGCTGCGTCGCGGTTCGATCCTCGCTGTAGCTATAATACTAACTAGCTACAACCAGCCGTAGCAGAAAGGACGGCGACAGCGCTATATCCTCCCACAACGATTTTCTGCGAACTAGCTCTCCAATGTATACTCGTTGGCGGCCGCGGCTGAATTCGTCATCGAAATTTGTTCGATTTTCCACAGGCTTCTCTGGACGTCATGGATCACAACAACATCGACATACCCTGCGCGCTACATCTATTTCAAAGCTGTTGCCACGAGGCCGAACGAGCTGCCAATGTGGCCGTCGCGTTAGAGCAACTACGGGAGGCGCTCCCGGAGTCATTCCACGGCCACCTCATCGCCTTGGCGGGCGGGATTTGGGACTCGAGCAGGCGGCTTCGCGATCTTGCCAGCAATTCCCAGTCTCATACCGAACGCGTCCCCCTGGTTCTCGACTACTTGAATATTATTTTACCATGCCTGTGTCGTACCCTGAACGATATTTTGGGTTACTATGAGGACATATCACTTACTCGGGAAATGCGGTGGCGGAAGATGTACAACAAGATGACGCAAGAAGCCGGCGGTGTTCCGCTTCCCCAGCGTTTTGTGCTTTACAATACCTTTCTGGTTATGTTAGGGTACCTTCTTAACAGGTGACTGATGACTCTGACGATAACTCTTTGGAAACGACTGTGCTCTAACTATGCATAGGTCTCCATGTTTCGATCCAAATATACTCGAGACGCTCCGTGGCCATCTTGTTGAGTTGAGGGAGAAACGAGGAATTCGTAAGTGACCCAGCTTGAGGTTCTTTTCCCGCGAGGACAACTAACATCCATACTACCTCCGCAGCCCCATTGCCAAAGCAAGTCGGCTCCGTGAGTCTTGCCGACATAGTAACTTCTTGGCCAACTCTTACCGATCCTGTCCGTCTCGGCCTTCAGTCTGATTTACCAGCTTGTATGCTGACTACACGGGATCAGAATGCTCATTGGGCCGAACAAATATTCTCGCTCCCACTTGCTTCTCGAACTGAGCTCAAACATATAAGACCGTGAGTACCGCATTGCAAGAGAAAGATTGAGTAATCGCGTCTAATGCTCCAGGGCGTACTAGGTCAAAGGCATGCGGCCCATTCTTTCGACGGGATCAACTTGCCATACCCCCAGAACCCAAAGTTCTCTTCCGGCGGTTAGTCTATGATCTTGACCGTCCCATATGGTCTTCATCCTGACGTGAAGCAACCTCTCGATCTGTTATCTTATACTCATGTCAGCAAGATTCCAACCTCAGGTAGAGGTACTGACGACGTCAATTCAGGCCTTTCGATAGTGATAGGACGTCTGTGGTGGCGTACCTCAACCCGATCGATCAAGCTCCTTACCTTCTTATTCGCAGTCTCCAGGGCGAAGTAGCCTGGTTCTCGTCCCATGGGGTCCATGAGCTTTGCATCGGGCGCGAAGGCAGCGCGTTGCAGCTTAAACGTTGGAGCCGGTCGGAACAATGTAGCAAGCTGTGGGCGGCATTTTACTTCATCACATGGGAGGGTAAGCTTCAAGGGCACCGAGTTTGCGATGGGATCACTCCGGCTAATCACTCCCATATATCCTCAGAGATGGTGCTTTTCTACTGCACGTTTGTCGCGCTCAAGGCGCGCAACAGGCTAACCGTTCAAATCAATCCGACTGAGTTTCAATTACAAAGAGAGAAGCGGCTCTTCCAAGCGTACGTGTTGTTAAAGTCTAGGAGAACGGGATCCAGGCATTGCTGACGTGGAAGTGCAGGCAAATCGTGGACGATGGGTACAAGCACTCGCTCGTTGTGTACGAGGATCAGCAAACCCATGGTGTTCGTCTTCATGCTGCGGTATGGGATGGCGAACTCAAGCAATGTCCGGTTTGGACTACATTTGGTGAGACAAGAAACCTCACATCTCTGTTCCATAGGTACTAAACGAATGCTACCAGTAACGGCTCAGGCACAGTCTTCGACATGGATCAGTCGGCGTTCCAAGCATCGTGTTTGGTTAAGAAACATACAGCTTTACGTGTTTTGCAAGAACTATCGACAAGAGGTTCAGCGGCAAAATAAGTCGAATGCATTCGAAATATATTTTGTGACTGAACAAGGTACGTTTTCAACTGAGGTAGACCCAAGTCCTGGATGTACTACTGGACTTTCGTAGCTGATATTGGTCTGATCTGGGACATAGGTGCATCCAAGTTTAAAGAGGTTTTTACAGCTATGGAGGTAGCCGGAGGTTCATCCGACACCCCAGAAACCACCACAGTTCCATTAGGGAGATAGAGTAATCTCTTATACTAGACGTTCAACTAATCTCATTCACTCACCCTGCCCAATTGTGCTAAAGGCAGTCTGAGCCTAACTTGGAGGAAAGTGGAAATTTAGTATAATAGATGCAATTATTTTTTATCTTTTGTGTATTTACCTTTCTATAATACTCTTTATTTTCTTTCGTATAATATAAAATAACTACAATATAATTGAAAAGTCTTACTTTTTCCTAAATATTCTAAAGATAATACTTTTTTGATTATATTTTAGCGATATTTCATTATATTAAAGGATTTATAATACTATAAGAGTTATTCTATTAGAGCTATTGTTGAGATTTATTATTCAAATTTATAAGACTCCTTTATAGATATTGGTTCTTAGTAAAAGGAACTTATAAGAATTTCTATATATATATATTAATTTTTTCTCTCTAGAATAATCGATTTGGAAGATGATACTTAGATCTAAAATAAAGAGGTTTTATACAATTATGCTTTTAAGTCTATCCTTACTATTCATTTTTTTATATTGCTTATATTTTTATTATTTAGTATATTATAATTAAATAGTTATAAGATATTTGTAAGATTCTGTATATATTAAGCCTTCTTATTATAGGTAAAGAGTAGATAGTAAATGTAAATATTCGTAATTGTATAAAGAAAAAAGAGAGAGAAGTGCGGTTAAGTGGTTGGAAGACTAGCCTTATAAGGGTAATTACTAGTGGGCTTGCAGACCCGCGGTAGGCAGCGCTCTAACTAACTAGCTGCTGGTAATATACTAGTAGTGACGATAGTAATAGTAGTTTTGGAAGCTGCTGTACGTTGGTACTGGGTACAAGATACGTAGGCTAGCTCTATAATACCTTTTATCTGAGCTGTATATAAATAGTTTATGTATAAATTACTTTTATTTAAGTTATATATAGGTGTAAATTGTAAGAGTATTTAAAATAGACTTATACTAAAGCTTGGTATTATAGTTTAATATTACTATCCCTCATTTCCTCTCCTTGCTTCTTACTAATATACTCTTAGAATAATACTTATTATAGAAACAATTTTTAACCCTATTTTACTCTATAGCAAGTGCTTTTACAACTGCAATTTATAATAAAAGGAACTAATTCTAAATTAAATAGCAATGTTACAGGGTTAGCCTATATGCCTTGTGCCTAGTGCCAGCGTATAGCAGCTTTTAAGACTGCCGTACGCTGTTATTACTGCCGGCTACTATTATTACCGGCAGTTAATTAGTTAGAGCGCTACTATCAGGAGGCCAAGGGGTGACCGCCGGGGAAGGGATGCCACGGCGCTACAACACCGACGCTCTATCTCGTCTGACCAAGCTCTTGCCCAGAAGCATCGCGACGGCCGGTGCCCTCTTTCGTCTAACTAGTCTTCGGCTCAGCAGTATCAGAGCATTCAACGGGATGGGTTCGGGGGAAGGATAATCCGGCGCCGCGTTGGGGCGGCACGCTAGTGCAGGACTCTACAACTCTTAGCCACGACGGAGCAGAGTTTGCATTGGTATAAAAGAGGCTCGAAGGAGCTTCGTTCTTTGTAGTCGGTAGCTATCAATACATCTTTGAGTTGACCCCTAACTTGCCGTCCCCTACGTGTGGCCACGACCGTAGTCACCTCAGCCTACCTTCCTCCTACGTCCTGACAGCTACCTACCGCGGGTCCGTAGACCCGCCGGCGGTCGCCCTCATAAGGCCAGCCTTCTAAATACTCGGCTGTACACTTCTCTTCCTTTCTCCTTCGTACAATTA